GAAGCCACGACCATGTGTCACAGCAGGGAAAATGGCCACGGATCCTGTTCGTCACCTGATGGGGCGTTCGCGAACGGAAGGAAAATTTTGCGAACGGTGCTGTTTGTGAACCGAATTGTTCGTGAACAGAAGCGTCCGTGAACCGAGGTACCACTGTATTTAAAATGCTCAGTTCTTTCAGCTGAGCTTTGTTGTCCAGCTGGCATTCTTACTTTTCCCTCACTTAACTCCATAACTAGCTTCAGTTCCCAGATCCTTGCTGCCACCTTCATGACCACCCTTCTTCCAAAATGCTCCTTTCAAATTTTTCCTCCTATCCTCCTATCCAGCAAATTATTTGTGTTCTGATTTGTGTGGAAGCTAAACTCTCATGCTGTTATTGTAAAGTGCCCTTGATGGTTAAGAGTTTATAATTGTAATTAAGTAAAGATGAATTGAAATTACTAATTAATGAGAGTCTTTGAAATCAGTTTTAAATTTATTGTTTTGAGAGCTTAGATAAATTCTTGTTTCTGATATGTTGAATTGACAATGTCTCCACCATGCATGACAGCTATATCAACTACGTACACTTGCATTACAGATAATTTAGGCACAGCATCTACCATCCAGTTGCTGCAGGAAATGGCAAGTACATTCAGTAAACTGTGTTACCTGATTGGTCAGCATGGAGCCTCTTTGACTAGCTTTCTTCAAGGATTAAAAGAGGCAAAGAATTTGGTGATCCTGAAGCATTCAAACCTGTTTTTGGAAAGTTATACTGAGTAAGGATCTCTTTATTTTAGTTTTAATTTGTAGATCTTTATTATACTGGGCAAAACTGCACCTGAAAACAGAATGCGTTCCAAAGAAAAAAAGAGGTTTCAAACATTATGCTTATCATTTTCTGAATTACTGATTTGCACTGTAAGATTGAGTTGAAAAATGATGGGAAAAATCACCAGGCACTCCTTCATATTGGCAGGCAACAGGCAGAATTCTTGAACCTGTCCTCACTTGGCTACTTTCATGACTGCATTAGCACTGAAATAGAAGTATTGGCCATTTTCAATGGTCAAATGTAAGATATGCCCTGCAGTAAATACAGGGGAATATTAAAGCTGTTAGTAATCTTTAAAAATACGATACATAGATTCATGCTGTGATATATCTGTTCATTTTAATGTGACATACAAATGGGTGCTAGACATATCCTATTGGCATGTGCCTCAGTCAAAAGCACTACTAGGAAGAATACATCCTTATTAGCTATTCTGTTACTTTGGGTATTTTCATATAAATTTTGTATGGAAGGAACCAATGCAGCTTTGCTTCTTTCTGCACAGCACTTGTGATGTGGGATACTCTGGGCCAGATGGGAGAGGAAGAAGTAGTTTGAGTTTGAATAATAATTTTGTACTACTGTGCTGTCCTTTGTAACAAGGAACTCCATGTCCCAATTTTGATACCTCTATATGTTGGGAGAGCAACATATAGAGGTATCAAAATTGGGACATGGAGTTCCTTGTTACAAAGCAAAGTGAGAGGGAACTCTACTACCGATGGGTCATGATACAACAGGACTGAAATGCTAAAGGATGGTATTTTTTTGTTTTTTTAGGCAGAAAGAGTTTCACTTCTTACATCCTCCATTAGGCAGATTCATGATGATACTTTAAATCCATAGGAATATTCACTTTTCTTCCACTGTTCTGCTTTAGGTACTGTGCTTCCTTGACAAATTTTTTGGTAATGGGAGGATTTACACTACTCTCCAAACCAGCAGTGTAAGTGTACACTTTCATGCAGAGTCGTTTGATTTATTGTTGCTCTAATGCCTGATGAATGACTAAAATAATAGTAAAGGTCAAGCTTGTGCACTTTCAATTTTGTTTCCTTGTGTAAATGAAAGTGAAAGCTGTAGAGCATTTCTTTGATTACTTCAGGTGATGCCTTACTTATGTATATTTTGCGCAAATAGGAAAATATGGTTAAATAAGATTACATATATTTTACTTTTCTGCTTAAAATATTCTTAAAGCAGCTTAGAAATAAAGAAAATGACATTTTAAACCGTTAAGAAAACTAATCAATGCATATTTAACCTTCACTTACTATTATTTATCGTCCTCAGAGGACAGTGTGGAGGAATACGGAGATGTCCTTCAAGAAGATATATGGCAGCCATTAGGAAAACATCAGCTTAGTCCAGAAAGATAGGACGGGCTGAGGAAGAAACTCAGGATTGCCCCACTTTGACTCTCTTTGGTATAAAAGGGAAGGAGAGAAAATTTGTCAGGCTTTCAAGAGGGTCCCAATGGAACCCTATAACAATAGAATTCCAGTAGTTCTTAGGGTGTCTGTTTCCTGC